TTTATCCTAAGTAGCTCTAGGTTCGTAACAGTATACATCTGTTTATAATTAAATTTTATTGTTTTATTGCCCTTTGAACCATGCCTAACTACTGTCTGTACCATTATAAGTTGTAAATCACTCGGGGAACGTGCAACTCACGTTACGCTATCGAATTACATTTACCCACGAGCTGCTCGCGTGCATGCCTCATGAACCATTTTAATTATGTTATTATTACTTATTTTACCTAATCTAGTCTTAAATAACTTAAAAAGAACCATATTTTTATATTTTAATTACTTTTATAATAATAAATAAAGAATAAATATGAAAAACAAGAAATAAAGTACTTACCCAATCTTCTTTCTTCTTGCCTTCGATTGTCAAGAAGAGTTAAGCCTGATTTTTTATAGTAATTATAGTAATGCACTTAACAATTTTTATTTAATTAAATAATGCACCAAACAATATAGACTAATAATGTGCAAAAAGTCGAAAAATTCCCTTACCTCTCAATTTTCCTGGCTTTCTAACTATGTAACAAGAGCCGTTACAAATTCATCCAAGCTAGTCGTTAACTTTCCCATGGGAACAAATGTTACTGTGAGTGGAATTGACGATATTCTGTTCAGAACACAATGTTGTACAATACATCATTTGATAGATGAAAACCTTGACTTTCTATTGGTTATAGGTAATATATAATGAAACGTAAGAGAGAACTATCAACAAATTGTGAAAGAGAGGGTGTGGCAGGAGGGATCTGATTATCCATTCCATTAGCTTTGTAACCAAACAGTTGAAGGCTATAAATTTATGGTTTGTTTGAGCAATGACAATTTTATAGAGTATTTTATGTTTAATTTCATACATTTTCAAGGGGTGATGGATAAAATAAGGATGTTGACATGCTAAGACAATATGGGTCACACTAGTGGAAATTCAGGATTCTTAAAATATTTCCTTGTAGAATTAAGAACTTAAAATTTGTATACTATAAAATCTGGATTATTAGCTAATATTTTATGCTATTCTAATTGGTATAATGTAAACAGAAATTAGTTTAATAAAAATTTGAAGGTAAGACACTAAAACCTGCACAGTAAAGAGCACCCGAGAAGATAGGGTTAATATATTTACGGACAAATACTTAATAAAAACTTGTAATGTTTACTAGAAACTTGCCAAGTTGCACGAAGATACATATTCCATGTTAAAAGCTATTGTGTGGATACTCTCATGGTTACAGAGTTGGTCAGAATGACCGAGCCTTTATGGAAAAAGTTAAAATATCAGAAAAAATTTTTATCTAACAAGTCAATGCAAATATGAACATGTATTACTGTTTATTAGTATGACTTAAATTAATGTTGTGTTTTGTTTCCACCAACTCTTGATGCAGGCTTCGCCATTTTGACCCAGTCATGGCTAGAGGGTTAATAGTTTGTTTGTTTAAATTTTAGGCCAATTCATGTTCAGTGGTTGTTTTATTATCCAACCTGTAACACAAGATTTAAAAAGTAAGATATGTTATATGTTTGTTTTTAGGAATCAGCCACTTGGAGCCACCACACACTATTATGTAGAGCAACTAATGGAAGTAAGTCGAGTTGCAGGTCCACCTCGGTCAGTGGCCTTTGCAGTTGGGAGTAACCTACATGTACACAGCATAGATCATGTTAGCGAATGGTGGGCAGCACTAGTTGGAGTAACTGTTCATTGGATTCAAGGAGAGGATCAAAAGGCTGAAAAACTCTGCAAGATCGTGGACTGCTTTCCTGTCAAGTTTTTGGGAATTCAGTAAGTTGTTCAAAAATATCTATATAATATAAGGTTCTGTGTCTGTGTGTCACGTAACTCCTCCTAAACTGTTGGTCGCACCGACTTCTAAATGGTACCAAATGAATCTTCTTAACCCCAGGGTGTACTTACAAGTAAACATTTTCACCCAATCACTTAAGGAACTCGGGCATTTTGCAAAAACACTTTTATGGAGTTTACCCAAAAGTGGACTCCAAACTTGGCATTGATTTACATTAGAACATGTAAATAAGTAGGCCTACTAATTACAGTCTGTAACTTGGCCCCATAAATATGGGTTCACTAGTAAATAATGTTAAAATTACAGCAGTACGTTTTTCTTTCTAGTATGAGAGAAATTAATCAAGGAGCCTTGATTTATTTTTTGCCTTCTCTTCCGACTAGTGAATTGAATTTTTCTAGTTTTATTGCATCTTTGCATTCATGTTTCGTGGCTGATTATTCATAAAACAGGCAGAAGAGAGTGTTAGTTTGAGAATGTACAGAATTGAAAAATAAAATAAAGACATTTCATTTATTACAACGATGATTTTAGCTATAAAGGCAAAACCCATGGAGTTAATAAACGAAATATTGTCTTTGGTTTCGTCAGTTTTGTTTGTGCTCTTCCATCTCTCTTTGTTCTGTATTTCTTTGTATTCTATTCTTTCAGGGCTACAATATCTACTTTACATGTATTGGTCATTTCCAACATGTTCTTTGCAATAGTAAGCTCTTCAGAGATTCCTATAATTCCATGTAGCAAATTTTAACTGTTACCATATTTGTTGTACAACAGCTTGTCATTGTCTTTGGTAAAAGGTCCATCAATCTGACACTGAATTTGAGATTTATTTACAAGTAAGATTTTTTTTCAGAATAAAATTGTTAACCCTACTCCAACCCTTTCCAATTTATTCGGGCATGAGACTAGTATGGATTCCATGCTGGAATATTAATCCACTCTTGGATTATTTGTGATTAACTACAAGTAAAAAATATAATATAAATGTTTAACATGTATTATTTTTCTTCTAAGGAACCCTCTTCCCGAAGCATTATTTAAAGCTTATAATGCACAACGAGCCTATCTGAACAAATGGCCAATTGATGATGTTTTGGAGCTGTGTACAGAAGCTGGAATTTTGCTGGAAAACAGTTTCAGCTTTGCTTCCCATCATGTGCCAACACCTACTGATCAGGTATACTTTGGGAGAAATGTTCATTTTTCAGAATTTTTGAAATTATAAAAGAATTATTACTGTTCTTTGTATTTACACGCGAATGTTTTACTTCAGCTTACGGATTACCTGTCAATCAAATATAAATTAATGGCTATTGTCACGACCTTGGTAAATTTTGCAAATCAAAATGTAACATTCATTACGGCCTTAGCAAAAAAAAAAACTAGTCTGATTTCACAGCATTTTAAAAGGGCACGTCATAGGTCACTACTGAGAAGTTTTGATCACTTATTATATTAACCGGAAGTGGTGACTACTGCAATTGGCAAAACAAAGTTCTTAAGTTAATGAATGTCAACCAGATGAAAATTGATTGGATATATCAAGCGAATGTATCTGATGACAATAAATAAAATTTAAATCCTATCACAAAATGAATTATTTTGGAAATTTCACAATATAAAAATAAGAGGGATTGAAAAACCATTTTTTTTTTTAAACTAAGGCTACATGTTATTTAAAAAGTTTGCTCTAAGTTTCAAGCACTTTGGGTAAGTGTTTCCACTGTGAGAAGGAAACAGTCAGTGACACACTTCTAGTGTGAAACGGGTTAAATGGCTCTAACAATAACATTCAGTAAATCTGTAAAGGTGTTGCTTATTCTGAATATAGCTGCAGCAACTTTGTCGAGTAAGAAGGTGTTAGATTTTCCAGGTTATTTTTGTTCATTGTAGTCGCAGTGTAGTAAACAATGTTTCAGTAGTGCCAATAACGTTATCATGGTTAGGAGTCGAGTTATATGGTTATATCTGAACGTTTCTTCTTAATTGAAATGTAATCTGAAGAATGATGTTGATTTTCAGGAATCAGATTGTATACCAACTTTCCTGAAAGAAAAATCAGTGAACAAAAAGTTAGTAAATAATTCAATTCCTTGTTAGCTGATCTGCAGAGGAAGAAAATAATATCAGACTTAAACTACAATATGAATAATAAAAAACATTTTGATTCATCATACAGGATTTCCAGCTTCTTGCATGCGTCTGGCTGCTTAGTATAAGGACAGCTTTGTGGGAAGAAAATGCAAGCACAAAAGAAACTTATTCTTCAAACACCAGGAAAACGTTCAGTTTTGTAAGTGGATACCAGCATGACCTAAGTTTGTTAAGGAAGTTGGCTCACCGTATGTCCGAGGCCCAAGCAAAGGTAACTTTTAAAGATTGTTCTAACTAGGTGGGGCCCGGCATGGCCAGGTGGTTAGGGCACTCGACTCACAATCTGAGGGTCACGGGTTCGAATCCCCGTCCC